AAGGAAGGACTTTGGTTGTCTGGCTTTTGTCATTTTAGGAAGATATGGCTGCACATGTTGGTGCTTCGAGGACTCCCCAGGAAGTGATGGAGCACTACGTCAGCATGTACATCCATGGGAACTTGGGCAAAGCCTGCATCCCTGACACCATCCCCAACCGGGTGACAGATCACACCTGCCCTAGTGGGGGCCCTCTCTCGCCTAGCCTCACCACCCCTTTGCCCCCACTGGACATCTCGGTGGCTGAGCAGCAGCAGCTGGGCTACATGCCACTCCGTGATGACTATGAGATCGAGTATGACCAGGATGCTGAGACGCTCATCAGTGGGCTTTCTGTGAACTATGATGATGATGATGTGGAGATCGAGCTCAAGCGTGCCCATGTAGACATGTATGTGCGAAAGCTGAAGGAGAGGCAGCGCAGAAAGAACATTGCCCGTGACTACAACCTGGTACCAGCCTTCCTGGGCAAGGATAAGAAGGAGAAGGAGAAGACACTAAAGCGAAAGATAACCAAGGAGGAGAAGGAGCTGCGGCTGAAGCTGCGGCCACTCTACCAGTTCATGTCCTGCAAAGAGTTTGACGATTTATTTGAAAACATGCACAAGGAGAAGATGCTTCGTGCCAAGATCAGAGAGCTGCAGCGGTACCGGCGCAACGGCATTACAAAGATGGAAGAGTCGGCCGAGTACGAGGCTGCCAGACACAAACGGGAGAGGAGGAAGGAGAACAAAAACCTGGCCAGCTCCAAAAGGGGTAAGGAAGATGGCAAAGATGGCGAGTTTGCAGCCATTGAGAACCTTCCTGGGTTTGAGCTGCTGTCAGATCGGGAGAAGGTTCTCTGTAGCTCTTTGAACTTGAGTCCCGCACGCTATGTGACTGTGAAGACTATTATAATTAAAGATCACCTCCAGAAGCGACAAGGGATCCCCTCTAAAAGTCGCCTTCCCAGCTATCTGGACAAGGTCCTAAAGAAAAGGATTTTAAATTTCCTCACAGAAAGTGGGTGGATATCCAGGGACGCTTCCTGAGGCCAGAGGATGCTAAAGCAGCTTGTGAGCCAAATGACCTGGGGTCCCCTCCCAACATTGTTGCTCTTTTAAACAAATTGAATTCTGTTTTTCAAAGCTTAAATTTTTTTCATGACCCTCTGGAAGAAGCAATAGTAGCAATCTTAAACTGACTTGTGGGGGAGACATATCTTTCTAACTTAGTGCTAAGGTAATCCTTTCAGAAGAGGGCTTGCCTTGTGTCCCTCTGAAGACTGCCCCCACCTCGAACTAGTCCCCTTTATTTCATGAGCCTTTCCCCCATTGGGTTCAGAAGCTGTTATGCTGTGGGAGCCAAGAGCTATGTGTTCCTGCCATCAGCTTTTACCTGGTGACACAAGCTTTACTCAGGTGGGCTGTTGTTGGCACCCCTTTGCTGAGCCCACTGCTGCCCCCAGCCAGTACCCCAAGCACAGCCCCGGCACACCGCACTTTACCAGGAGGCAGGCTGTGCACAGAACCCTCTGCTGTGGAGGCCAGAGATCACCACCAGGCCCTCTTCCCCCACTGAGCCACTTAAGATGAGCCCCTCATTTGCACACAGTGACCACATGAGCTTCCACTTACCTGACAGTAGCCTCTCTTGGCACATTCTTATCCCTGTGGTTGGGAAAGCAGTTAATGGGAAGGCCACAGGGTCAGGAGGGGGCTTCCCTTCACTGCTGTGAACCCCTATAGTACACCTGACTTGGGAGACCCTTTTGAGTTCAAGGCTGAGTGCAGTGCTGAGTTGGGGCAGTAGCTGCTCAGGACTTCACCACCATTGCAGATTCCCTTTCACTAAATATAGGACATACTAGATATCCCGGCTCAGTGAGCTGATCAGGGTATGGCCAGGTCCCTCCGACCGGGTAGAGCCACAGGACCAGCTGGCAGGGGCCCTGGGGAGTGCAGAGCATCCTGCCTGTGCCTTGGAGCCTGTGCGCTGCTTTTGTTTGTGGTCTTGAAACAAACTCAGAAATGGCTCCTTCCCAGATTGACTGAAAAGCTTGTCTCTGGGGGCCTCCTTCAAGGATTCATATGGTACCTTCCTTCTAAACTTGAGGAAGGCATTTGTCTTCCGGCTGCTCAGGGTTCTCACGCCCAGACCCTGCTTTAGAGTCCTGGAGTGACCACAGCCCCTGCCCCCTGTCCCTGCGGTACAAGAGCCTGTTTACCTCATAGAGTGTGTGGGCTCAGAAGTGAAAGTGAAGTTATTTTGAAGAAAAACAACTCATTTCCAAGGACGACTTGATGACGTGCCTTTTCATTTTACATCCACTGTCCCCTAGGGTAAGTTTTTCAGCATTAAATAAAACATTTCAAATATACTATATACGGCTTTAGTTGTAAAGTGCATTGTAGGCTAACAGGGAAGTGCCCTGTGAGCCAGGCCCAGATTTCTCTTGACACCAGAAGATGCTGAGCAGTGGTGTCAAAGGACCAACTCCACACTGCCCCCTACAGGTGAATAGTGGACAGTAACTGGTGTCACTGAACACCAATGGGGGAGTGCTCAGTGCCTAGTTGTTAAGCCAGTGGTTCTCAAAGTGGGGTTCTCAGGCACTTGTCAGAAATACAGAATTCTACCCCATCTAACTCTGTTGAGGCAGAGATTTGGGGACTTCATTAACAGGGACGACCAGGGTGTTTTTTCAAACCCTCCAGGTGGCTGGGATACAAACTCAAGTTTGAGAACCACTGGTTTTGTTCTGGTGTCCCAGCTTGGTGAGGTTTGAAGCTTCAGTGTCTTCTACAAAATGACAGCTAGACCTACATTAGCTTGAGAAGCAGAGGATCCTGTCAACATGTGGCCAAGAGCTGTCGGACAAAAAGCTGTGCTTAAGCAGGCGTATAGTGTGTACATCTTTCGATGATATGAATTTATTTGGGCGTGACTGTTTTAAAACACCATAATGAATGTATAATTAATTTATGTTCAAGTATTAATATTGTTACAAGGGAAAAGTAATATTAGGATTGTTTGCTCTCCTGTCTGCCCCAGCTGTTTCTGTCACATTACTCTTTGGTTAGCTCAGACCTTGACATGTTTGTATTTAATTCTCATGATAAATTAACTACCACAACCCCATGGAACCAAGTCTTTTCAAAACTAAACAAACTGTCTTTGAGTCAGGAAAGTTAGATAATTCTTCAACTGTTTGAGATAATGCTGTCTAGGAGGCCAACATTCCAAGAATGTATTAAAGAATCGAAACCCTACCATTTTTATTATTCTTTTTCATTAAACTGTTGAGAACAAAGTCTTGTCTGTTTGCTTCTTGGTCCTCCAACCTCACAGCACTTTGCTGTCAAGCCAGTTTCTTAAGAAGCCCAAGGTAGAAAGGTGCTGTCAACAAAGCAGAAGTCCCCCTGGGCCATACAGCTACACATCCAGTAAGCCTGATCCCGAGAGTACCAGCTAGGCCAAAGATGATTTCCAGGGAGCAGGGCCCATTTCCAGCTGCCTCTAAAGTTCTGGTTAACCACACTCTACAACTTAACCAACTACTACCATTCAGCTTCCAGTCACTAGACTTGAATTTCCAGGGGAAATGTGTGCGAATCTGTTTATCTCCTATTAGTACTGACTGATGAACTTGCCAACATTGTCACATTTAGGCTAGTCATTCCTGACTGGTTCCAGGACCCACCTCCCTTCCAGGAAACCAAAAAATAGCTTATATAAGACAGCAGACCCTACCTACACACTCTCCAGGATGCCATGCACAGACAGTGCACTTGGAGACCGGAAATCTGTCCATGTTTGAATTCAACAGTTCTTAACCTTGATTACTGTGTCTGAGTGCAGTCAGGGGTCAAAGGACAACTTTGAGTATCTTCTCTCTTCGTGGGGGTTCTGGAGATTGAATTAACGTTGTCAGGCTTCACAGCAGGTGCTTTTACTGGCTGAGTCATCTTGCTGGCCTTTGACAGTTTTTCTTGAGTCTAACATGGAACTTGTGAACAAGGCTGATCTAGATCTTGTGGGTTGAGCTTTGTACTGCCCAGCAGCTACCAGATGGTGTGTGCATAGCTATGCAGCATAAAAGCACATTGCCTCTGCTGTGTCACGCTGCCTTTATTCTGGCTTTTGTCTAAATAGTTCAAGGCAGCTAAAAGGAGAATGTATGAAGACTGAACCTTGAATTTTGGGATTACTTCTATCTTTCAAATTTTAATAGCAAAAAACTATCCCCTCAGCTCTATGCATTTACTATACTGCCTGGCTTCTGCCCAAGAGTGTAATCAATCCCTTACTCTGGCACCGGTTTCTTTACATCAGCAATTCTTATCTTTTTCTGAGCTCTCTATAGAAATGGGAAAGAGGACTTGTGGCTAGTGGGAGCCTGAAGTCAGCTTCTGCCATGTGGCTTTGGCTCCTTGGTTTTCTCCTATGATCTGTATTGTAACTACATGTAAGGTCAAGGTGTACAACCCAGGCACAGGCAACTTCTCTGCTGCATTCCTGCAGCTCCAAGCTTGAGCTGTGAGATGAGTGAACCAGGCTCTCTCCCTAGGAGCTCACCAGATCTCCACTAGATGACAAAATCCAATACCAGAAAATTAGGAAGACAAAAGAAGACTTTTAAAGAAAATCCTCTTAAACAACCTGAAAAGTAGAAATGCCTGAAGCATGCTAGCCACGCAGCTTCTCCATTCAAAATGGTCTGTGTTGACAGTGTGTAATGTCCTTAGCAACTACTTGGCTACTGACTTAAGATACTGAGAAGACTGGAAACAGGTAAAAACTAAGTATGTTCAAGTTCAGGTGGTCCCTTCCCAGTTCAAAGGCTGCCTGCCATTCACAGCAGCTAAATCTCACCTATGAAGGACTCATGCTCTTGAAGGTCTTAGCTTTGCTGGCAAGAACAGTGTTCCCACTCTGGCCCTTCCCTTTGAAAGAGCCCCACCATGCTGAGTGAGTGACACCAGTGCCTTGGCACCCAGAGGTAGACTGTGCAGCGCAGATGTAGCCAAAGACCTTTTATTTGTGTAGTTATCAATCACCAGGTGGAACAGATACAGTGTTAGTCAACACTACTCCTGAGGCCCTGCTGGCCCTCTTCTGAAGTAGGTGGCGCTAAACTCAGTGACCAGGCTCCCAGAGTCCCTGACACAGTATGCAAGCAGCTTCACGTTCTGCTTAGCTTACTTAAGATTTCCAACAAGGCCGGGCAAAGATCAGACGTGTTCACAGATGAGAAATTACAAGCCTGCCTTCCGAGTTCTAGCAAGTGACCTACAAAGTCCAGAGCCGAGGGAGGCAGCTAAGCTTCCTTCACAACCCCTACCAGAGCTGGCCTGAGGGTGCGACCATGTAGCTTGTAGCCCACTTTGCTAACTAGTGCCACTGTGCCCGGCTCTTTTCCCTCCACAGGGGTGTGGAACAAGGCCTCGTGTTCGTAAGGGTCAAACTTGGCCCCAATGGGGTCGAGCTTGAGCAAGCCATGTTTTGTGAACACCTTCTGAATCTGGACTTCAGTCATCACGAGCCCTTCATACAGGCTCTTCAAGTGAGGGTTATTGTTGCTGATTTCCTCCTTTGGAACACTCTGGGTTGCCTTCTCCAGGATGTCTGCAACCTCCAGCAAGTCCTTGCAGAAGCCCTGGATACCTGCATGAAGAAAAGATTTTTTTCACTTAGTATCAGTTGCATGGGCTCATCCAACAGGGCTGTTCTGATGTCTGGCCAAATGATATGTCATAGAACCACAGTACTTCTGAGATAAGAGCAGGAAATATGTACTAAAATGAGGAAAGGAAGAAAGCACAGGTAGTGAGAGAAATTAGCTTAGCGTGCCCCAGGATCACAACCCAAGGTGCCCCATGCTGACCAGGCAGGCCACAGCCAGCTGAGCAACAGGAGAGTAACATGAAGACAGCAGGAGCTCTATCTACATGCGAGTCACAGCTGCAGCTCTGCTCTCCCCACTCAAGACTAAAATGTTCTGCTTACCATACAACTTGGCCTCCTCCACCAGCTTCTGGCTTCTCTGCCGTAGATTCTCAGTATCTGCCAAAGCTCGTTTGTATTTTTCCTAAAGGAAAAAGAAAAACAAGAAAAGATTTAATTATGTCACAAATGTGTGAGAATCGAAATGATTATATAGCAAACTCCAAATCAGGACATAAAAATAAAACTTGTCATGAATTGAGATTTTTGGACAGTTTAAGACAAATAGTTTACACCTGTGCTGGTGTCTCAGAGGTGGGGGGACAGGGAATAAATAATGTGAGAGACTCCTACCCAAGGGCACAGAGGAAAAGAGCTAGAAAGTCCTGCTTATGTGCTCATGCCTTTGTTATCCCTCAGGGAAGAATGCTACTTTCCTGTCCAACTTAAAGGTGTCAAAGCACATCACTGGGGGTCACCTACCTCAGTTCCCTGCCTCCCCAGAGGAAGATAACCTGGGAGGAAATCTCAAAGAGGCCATGCCCTGCCAATTAATTACTGGGACCAGAGATAGGACAGATCTCCACCGTCTCTGTGGGCACCATTTCTGACCATCTCCAGTTTAATATCCACTGGTGGACTCCAGACGTCTCTACAACACCTCTGAACTCAGTTTTCAGGCAGTCATGAAGCAAGGCTCTAAGACAACTTGTCCTGGGCTAGCCTTGGTAACTTGGGAAACTCCACTATCTTTTTTGTACTCAGTTTCCTCATCTATGAAGGGACTGTGGCTGAGGATTAACAGAGTTCAGCACAGTGCCAGCCATGTGGTACTACCAATTGCTCCCACACTTAGGGAATTTGACTGCTGCCTGCTTTTCAATGTGGAGTGATAATCTATCACTGACTCCCACACTCAGCTCCTGTACATAATTTTCCGGTTTCCCTCCTAAGTCCCAGCTTTATCACATCAAGTATCCCTTATTCGTATTGAAGACCTTGCAATATTTTTGTTTGTTTTTTGACAGGCTTCTTCTGTGTAGCAGCCCTGGCTGTCCTGGAACTTGCTTTGTAGATCAGGCTGACGTGAACTCACAGAGATCCGCCTGCCTCCTGAGTACTGGGATTAAAGGCGTTGTTTTCCCATAATAAAGAAACTTTCCAGGTCGGAAGCAGAGCCACAGAGGGTTTGGCAGTTAGTTTGCCACCTGGGCCCACAGCAGGCGGTAGACAAATGATTAAATGTCCTTGGCTATACCCTGTCACCTGTGACCTTGGAAGTTGTCATGTGGACCATGCAGGTAGCAATCCAACAGTGTGTACACTGAGGGTCTGTGGTAGCCCTCAAAGGAATTGGCATGGTTAGGAGGAAGTAAGTGTGTCACTGGAGCTGGGCTTTGAGGTTTCATCTATGCTCAAGCCGTGCCAGTTAAACAGTTCACTTCCTGTTGCCTAGGAGATGCAGGACTCTCAGCTACTTCCCTAGCACCATGTCTGCCTGCACCATCCCCTACCAGGATGATAGTGGACTGCACCTCTGAACTGTAAGCCAGTCACCCTAATTAAATGTTTTCATCTAGAAGGACTGCCATGGTCATGTGTCTCTTCACAGCAACAGAAGCGCCAACTGAAACAGGGTCCTTACCATGGTCTCCCTCAGCTGCTCTTCCAGCTTCACCTTCTCTTCCAGGACGCTCTTGTCTGCAGAGGGTGGCTCTGTCTTTGGCTCACAATGACCCAAGTCCTCTTCCAGGTTCTGGCCATTATTCTTCTGTTTCGTAGCTGTGCACAACAAGCGAGGAGAAGGCCTAAGGAAAAGCCCACATGTAAGAAGTGAAGATAGACTAAAGACACAGACATAGAAATTTGGGTCTTTGAGATGGCTCAGTGGGTAAGGGCACTGGCCACCAAGCCTGATGACCAGAGTTCTAGTCCAGAGGACCCACACGGTAGGAAGAGAGAACAAATCCTTCACAAGTTGTCCCAATCTCCACACATGTACTGTATAATGTACAAACCCTCTTCCCCAACAAAGTAAATGCTTAAAGAAAAGATTAAATTTGGATAATTGCAAACTATTTTCTAGAAAAGACGTATCTCAGACCTAACAAAGGAAATTGTAACACACAAAATACTTGCACTGTAGGGATGGGGAGGTGGCTCGGGAGGTAAAGTCCTGCAGGGCAAGCAAAAGACCTGAACCTCCAGAACCCACATAAGAAAGCTGAGCATGGAGGCACACCTGTAGCCCTGGTCCTGAGGTGGCAGAGACAAGCAGATCCCTGAAGCCCACTGGCCAGCCACCCTAGCTGAAATCATGAGCTTCAATCTAGCTCATTGGGTCACGACATGAGTTCAATCCCTAGGACCTATGTGGTGGAAACAGAGAACTAATTTCTGCAAGTTGTCCTCCGACTGCCCCACATTTGCTGTGGTAGCTGTCCCTAACAAGTAAGTAAATGAGACAGAAGAAGATACCTGATGTTGACCTTGGGCCTTCCCCATGTGCTCATATTGCACACACCACACAAACGATATGGTGCCTCTTTATGTGGCCCCACATTTGCTGTGGTAGCTGTTCCTAACAAGTAAGTAAATGAGACAGAAGAAGATACCTGATGTTGACCTTGGGCCTTCCCCATGTGCTCATATTGCACACACCACACAAACGATATGGTGCCTCTTTATGTGGCATACTCAAGTATGCCACATGAGTATGGTGTCCTAGGAGACCAGAATGGTGTATCAAATCCCCTGGAGCTAGAGTTTCAGGTGGTTGTGAATTGTCTAACGTGAGTGCTGGGAACTGAACTTAGGTCCTATGGAAAAGAAGCAAGCACTCTTAACCAGTGAGCCATCTCTCCAGCCCTGTTCCCAGCCTGACTCTTTAACAGTGCATGACATATAGGTGGCTGTGGTGGTGGTAATGCACTGATGCCTACTACCTAACAAATCACCTGACAACACAGTTCACAGAAAGCTGCCCTGTCATTAAGTGACATGTAGTGTCCCTAACTACCTCCTCATATATTCTAAGGTGTCTCCTTGAGTCAAAGCACACTTGGCATCCTACTGAAGACAGTGGCCTGAGCAGAAATCCTTTCATCAGACAGAAAAAGCAAACACCCAGAACACATTGGCCCGTGGCTTCCGTGATGACGGGATCCATGGCTGCAGAAGGCCCAGAGCAGGGAGACCCAGGAGACTTCACTGTGTAACTCAGGCTGGCTTGGAATTCACTATAACAGGTTGGCCCTAGACTCAATGGAGTTCTGCCTGCCTCTGCCTCCCAAGTGTTGGGATTAAAGATGTGGACTGCAATGCCCAACAAGCTGACTGGAGGAAAATGTACTGCTATTATATCCAATTATATGTAAGTATGTCCCTGTTTGAGTCTTTGTATGTGTATGTCTGTGTAAGTGTAGATGCCCAAGCCAAAGCCACCAGATACTTTGGAGCTGGAATTACAGGCAGCTGTGTTCTGTCCAGTGTGGATGCTAGGAGCTGAACTTGGGTCCTGTACAGGAGTGGTGAGTACTCTTAACCACTGAGACTTCTCTCTCTAGGCCCTGGTTTTCTTTTTGATGCATTTATTTATCCAGACTGAGTCTGACAGTAAGCTTGCAATCCTCTTGCCTCAGTCTTCCATGTGCTGGGATTGCAGGTCCACAGAAGGCTCTGCAGGCCAGGTGAGTTACAGAGGAGTAGGGTAGACAGGAGATGCATTTCAGGGACCAGGTATCACTTGGACAGAGGGCTGGAAATGGGATTACAAGTGCTGTGCAGGGGAAATGGAAAGAGGAGTCCAAATGAATCCTGGAAGTAAGCCAGAAGAAGCATGGAATCTCCTTGGAGCTGGAGTCACAGGTGGCTGTGGGCCACCCAGTGAAGGTGTGGGGAACTAAACCCAGGTCCTCCACAAAAGCAGCCACTACTTTTAACCACTGAGCGCCCTCTCTGGCCCCAGCAGTGACTTCTAATTTTACTCTTCCTTTCATGATTTTTAAAAGGCCAAGAATCTGGGCTGCAGAGTTGGCTCAGTAGTTGAGAACACTTGCTACTCTTTTGGAGGACCTGAATTTGATCCCCAGTACCCACATAGCAGCTAACAAACCATCTAACTATAAATTCCAAATCCAGGGTATCTGACACTTTCTCCTGACCTCTGAGGGCACCAGGCATGCACCTGGTGCATGGACATACATAAATAAGGTAAAACACCCATACACAACAAAACAAAACAGAGCCTAATTTTGAAAAGCATAATTAAGGTAAGAATATAAAAACCTATAAAATGTGAAGCCCGTTTTCAGTATGAATTATTTCCACCCCTTTGGGATGACAATTACAGCCTTTGGGCAGGTCAGCTCTACTGTACTGATCCTCTCCCCTAGAGCCGTGTCCCAGAGGGAAGAGGGCAGCCAAGCGTAGGGATACTATGGGAGCTATGACTATCAGGCATACAGCTCTCTGGCCTCCCTCCTAGAGTACCTTTCTTCAAAACCACAATTTCAGGGGCTGACATGAACCAAGCTGAGGGGACGTGGGAGGGGCTGCCTTCCTGCCAATCAACTCCAAATGCAGCAGCACAAATGAGAAGGGCTCCTGCAGGAATATTCCAGGAGGCAGCTTTGCTCCCAGCTCTTTGCATACGTAAGCCTGTTTCCATCTTGTCGTCACCTTTCAAGACATCAACCACTTGCTTGCCCTCACCAGATGAAAAGACCAGCTCCCATTCTACCTAGTTTCCACAAGATTCAGCCAAAGTAGCTTTCCACTAACCAGTAACTCGGTCCTAACAAGGAACGAAGTAAGGATGGTATTTGCCTAACTTTGGAGCTGTGACTCAAAAGCCCGAAGTCACGGATTAAGGTATAATGATGGAGGAAAATGCGCATTTGTCTAAATAAACTGCAGACACACTAGTTTTGTTGTTCCTTGGACCTCACATTTCATCCCGAAGGACAACAGTGGAGAAGGAACGTTTGGGACAGTGGAAAAAGCCCGTAAACCGGCCAGCCCGAGTTAGCCCCGGCCCCGAAGTGCACACTGCAGCTACCTACCAGTATTAGCAACCCCAGCCCCTGAGCGGGCGGGCTTCTGCCTGGCTGCCTGACCTTGGGCAAGTCTCTGGCTTCTGGAGTTATCTTTTGCAATCCCAGCACGGGTAGTGCCCCGTGCCTGTGAGCAGGCGGTGTCGCCAGAAAACCAGTGGCGGAACCTTCCACCTGGCGTTCCACTGCAGAGCCCGGATCCCCACGCCTACACCCCAGCGGCTCTGCTCCTCGGCTCTCGAGCCCAGTTCGGGCAGCGTCGAACAGCAGATCTCCGGACGCCCGCGCGGAGAAGCCAGGCACGGGGATCAGGCAGTGAGGGAGGCTCCAGGGCGCACGGGTATCGGCTGTGGGGACCCCAGACCGCTGCGAAGGCCTCAGCCAGAACTCTCGGCGGCGAGTGGGTGCGACGCGGAGGGCACTCTCTTACCTGAACGACAGCGCCAACGCCGGGAGACTGCGCCGCGCCAGCCTCACGCACTGAGCCGCCATGATTGCCCCCGCGGCTGCGTCACTGAGCCCACACTGCGCATGCACGGAAGCTCCTACGCCAGCTTCCCTACCCACTGCTGCTTTTTAGCTAATCCGTGACCATTGTTGCTATGATGGACAACCGTGACCACCAATAATCGCTAGTCATGACGGAGTACCGGCTTCCCGGATGAGGGAGTACTGAGGCTTCTGGGAGCTCCGAAGGTGAGGAGGTGAAAGGTGAAGGGAGCGTGGGGGCGGAGGGGGGGGGCGGGGACGGAGACCCTATGGGCGGGGCGCGAAAAGGAGTAGCCAATGGGGAGAGAAAGCTCGGAGGCGGGGCGGGCGATGATGGAGGAGAGGACGAGACCCGGGAACTTGTGCAGGTTGGATGGTGCTAGTTTAAAGCTTCCGCGGCGTTTTGCGTGAGGAACTTGGGAGGACCGGGAAGGAAGGGTATGTGTGACCGGAGGAACATGACTTGGTTTTGTACCTTCTGTCACCTCCGGTTTTCTCAGAACGCAACATAAGCCGGGCGTTGATGATGCACGCCTTTAATCCCAGCACTCGGGAGGCAGAGGCAGGTGAATCCCTGTGAGTTCGAGACCAGCCTGGTCTACCGAGCGAGGTCCAGGACAGGCTCCAAAACAATACAGAGAAACCCTGCCTCGCAAAAACAAAAACAAAAAAACCATAAGCAAATGAACTAGCATCACTGTTCATCTGCTTATGTTTCGAGGAGAGGGGTGCAATGTTTGGTCAGTGCTCTGGGGGAGGTTACAGTAGGGCAGCGTCCTGTCCTATCCTCTCTGTATCTGCTTCATTCTTCGCCAGTCTCTCTCCCATCCCGAGACCTGGACTACAGCCTGCGAGTGCACTCGAAAGGGCCAAAACTCTTTATTATTTAGCTTCGCTCTTAATAAAATCATTTGCTCAACATATGGTACTGTTTGCCAGGGGTGGGGCATGTCCACACGAAAGCACAGCTCTCACCTCAAAAGGAATAAGTTTATTCTGGAGCCAATTATGAGTGACCCTGGCCCAGAAACACAGTTTTAGGATAACCCAAATTCAATGTTCCAACGTGAAAGCAGTTTCAGGACGTTTGTGTAGTGTAGTAGCAGGACAAAGAAAGCCATAATTCAAGACATAAAATGCATTGGAGGAAACATTAAGTAGATGATAAGACCAAAGAAGAAAATCCTTAGTTTATCAAAATGTTAGGTCTGACATAGAATGTCCAGAAACCTACTGGTGGAGATGGAGCAGCTACTTGGGGCAGCTGTCTGAGATCCTTTCAACAGTGGTCAGGGCAGTCCAGGGGAGACAGAGATGCAGGAGGATCAAATGAAAACATGGGGCAGACCCAGAGAGGATGGGGTGGTGTCTGTGAAGAAAAGCAGTCCTCAGAAGGTCATGCAGATGGCTCAACAGCATGACTGTGGGTGTGATATGCATTACAGCAGAATGCCTGCCATGTACCAGGCTCTTTAAGATGTCCGCTTGTGGAGCAGCCCCAAGACTTGCTGGGAGAGGAATGGTGGACCTGGTTAGGTGACTCACACAGCTGAAGAAGGCAAAGCTCTTGACTATTTCTTCACACTGACCCAGCATGTACTGGGGTGTAAAGCAGAACCAGCATGTTCTTTCAACGGTGTTTCTTGCTGCTTCAGTGGCATGGTGGTCTCTCAGGAGGTGACTCTTCATCCCCTCATGCAACTTGGAGGCTGGCCAGTTTTGCGACACCTGGGATTGACGGTTCATCTTCATTATCATCTTGACTGGATTTGAAATCACATTGGGGGACACTTCAGGGTGTGTCTGTAATAGTGTCTCCAGAGACATTTAACTGAGGGAAGAGCCACTCTAAATGTGGGTGTCACTATCCCATGGACTGAAGCCAAGACCGAAAGAAAGAAAAGGAGAAAGCCCGAGGAGCACAGTCATCATCTCTCTCCTGCTTCCTGGTCCACTGAAATGTGAGCAGGCAGCCTCAAGCTCCTGCCACGTGCTTTCCTCACCGGGATGAGCTATCACCCTCAAGAACCCAAATGAACCTTTCTTCCCTCAAGGTGCTCCTTCTCAGGTGTTTTGTCACAGTAATGGAAAAGGTAACTGGTACACAGGGGTAGCAGGCAGTTGTAAAGATGGACTCCAAGGGTCATCCCATGCCCTACCCATCACTCAACCAGACACTAATCTAGGTACTGCTGGACAGGAGTTGCACTTCGCATCAGTGTCCCAAGACCATTGTCCTTGAGGTAGTGAGCAACTTGTAAGTTTGAGGTTTTGAGCCCTTTAGAGGCAGCGGAAAGTGGGATCCAGGTGAAGTCAGGAGGAAAGGTAGAATCCCCGCCCCTGGCTGGAAGGCGGAGGTGTGACCCTAGGAGAGGCTGAAGCCAGTCAGACTATGAGCAATTCAAACCTGCAGCCTCCAAGAGTGGAGATTACCAGCCACTGGGTTGCACCTGAGCGTGGGCCCTTCCCCAGAACCCAGTGTCAGGAGAGCCAGTTTATTCACAGAAGCCACAGCACTGCCCCATGAGGCAACATTGCTGCCTTCTCCCTGCTTTGTTCTATTCTTACTGTGAGCTTTGATGTGTAGAATGGAAATGTGTCCTGAACCTTGGTTCCTAAGCACATAAGCTCCAAATGGAAAGATCTCTGGTAGGAAAAACGTCAGTGGAGGAGGGCGTGCCCTGGATGGTCCAGTTGAAGTCACCTCCAGCAGACACTTTGTGGGAGTTGAGCAAACACAAAATTAGCCTCCATTTCCTGGGAACATTTCAGGGCTGGATGCAGTTGACTGGAACTAGTGGCATCTGGGTTGTCCCCAGCGTACTCACAGGGGTGGGTGTGAAGTGGCCTTAGCTGGTCCAAAGGAGAGTTGGAGGTGCTGAAGTCCCAGGATCCTGATGACCACATCTTATGAAGCTGGTGGGTTGAGAGAAGGTTTGATTGTAAAAGTGGCTATGTTGTCTGCCTGAAGCCCCATGCTCCATGAACCCTTTGGTGGTTGGTCAGATTGGTCAGACAGAAAAATGTCAGAATTGGGAAGGTGCCATGGGTACAGTGAAGTGAGGAGTCTTATGCAATAGGGGGTGCTCATCAGGGGATGCTGGGAAGTGACTTACAGAATCATTTAGGAATGACAGTTTTTCCCTTATGGGTTCCCTTTCTATTGGTTGCTGGCCCAGGCATGCCTGCCATCCCAGTTCACCCACTATGGGGGAGATGGCTGTGTGGACAATTACTACACACAGCGCTATGAAAGGGCCAGCATTTACTCCCTCATAGTTCTGGGAGGCAGAAGTCTAGAGTCCGCTTCCCTGGGCTGAAGCCAGGGCATGACAGAGCTGGCTCTCCTTGGGGCCCCAGGGAAGCTGCACGAGGCTTTCTTGACTGTGTGCCGCCCGTGTATCTCCCACCACCATCTGCCCTTCCTCTGCGGCTCCCTCCAGCCCTCCTCACCCCCCACATCAGAGAAAGTTCATGATTACAGTGAGACACAGGTGTCCTCAGTTCCTTAACTACTTCTGTGTGGCTGTGTTACTGCAGCGCTCAGAATAGGGCACATCTGGGTGCCGTCATTTAGCTCTGAGGAAGAACAGTGCCACTGTTTGGATCTGCTGTGTCCCAGAAGCATGCATGCTGGAAGCTTGGTTCCCAGTACAGCAGTTTTCAGAGGAAGGTGACTGGATCGTGACTGGATCATGTCAGTGTGAAAATTCACTGATGTACTTAGAGGCTAATGGGTTTGGGGGCAGAAACTTGCTATAAGAGTCCCTCCCTTGCTTCCTGATGGCCATCGGGTGGGCAGATGCCCTACTACATGCTCCCTACCATAAATTCTTATCTCACCATAGGCCAGAATCAATGGTGGCAGGGGTGAAACCGCAGAAGTCATGTGAAGAACAGGCCCTTCCCCCTTTCAGGTGATTGTTTCAGCTATTTTAGCACAGCCATGGAAAGCTGACAACACACAGGGCTGCCAACAAAACCCACAAATGAACCCTACTCCTCTGTGCATTATGGAGAAAGAATATTCCAAAAGAGGTAATGTGGGAAGCAGGGTTTCCACTTGCCTGGGGCTAGGAAGGAAGGAGGATATGGCCTGAGGGCTCTCGTGGACAGCCCTACCTCCCTAGATGACTGCAGGGATGGACCTCTGACCTCTCTCTTTCCTGTGAGGTCACTCCTATATTTGCCAGCTCCTCTCCAAGTGCTCCTCTGTCCTCAATACACCATGGGCTTGACATAGGGCAGAATCGTTTTTCTTGTTTGAGACAGGCTCTTGTGATTTAGTCATGACTGGCCGGGAACTCAGAGAGATAGCTCACCTTTGCTTCCATAGTGCTGGTATTAAAGGTGTGGAATCAATTCCTGGATCCTACAGTGGATGGATAGAAAGAACTCCTGAAAGTTTCCCTCTCACTTCCACACATTCACACGACAGCAAATTTAAAATAAATCTAAAAAACCCATTTTAATAGGAAGGTATATATATATTTCTTTGCAGTTACTTTCAGGTACCTTTGCTTCCTGCCCCTGCCAAGATCAGCCCAACATAGCCCCTGAGAGCTACTGCCACCTTGTGGCCACATCTTTATCCCATTTTTTTTTTTTGTCTTACTTTTTTTTTGTCTAAGTGTCCTGTTGCCACTTAGATTTGTTTTCAGTCTATTACTATTGTGTGTGGGGGGAGGGGGTTTGCATGCATGCACAAGTGTGCTCATGCTCACAGGCACATATATACCTACGTGTGTGCAGGTAGGTGCCTGTGTGTGGGAATGCATGTAGAGACCAGAGGTGGCATCAGATGTCATTCCTCAGGAATAGCGCCCTTATTACAATCGTGGTGCTACTTCCAGCTTTCTATGTGGATTCTGGGATTGAACTCAGGCTTCATGCTTGGCGGCAAGCACTTTATCTACTGAGACGTCTCCCCGGTCCCCATCAGTACTATTTGTGAAGTAGCTTCTTGATCAGCTCTGTCCTCTACATGACATGCCTTCTGTCTCTTACATACCATTTCATTTTCTTATCTTATTGCATTTGCCTTGATTCAATGTCGATTTTTAAAAATTGAAATCTTTATTATTTTGTCCTATTTTGGAGATAGGGTGTCATCATGTAGCCCAGGCTGATCAAAATCATGACACCCTTGAAGCTTATTGTAGAAAATCCTTTGTTTATTTGGATGCATAAAAATTGTGCTTATTTGTGGGGTGTTGCATGACACTGTCACACATGCACACATTGTGTGACATTAGATCGTGGCAGGCCTGTCTGCTGTCTCTAATATTCATCAAATCTTTGTTGTGAAACACAAAACCTTCCCTTTAAGTTTTTGTTTTGTTTTTTGCCAATGCTTTGAGAATACAGTTGTAAGGGAGGTTGCCCCCTCAGGGTACAAGACATACCCAGACACCAAATTCTTAGCACGACAGAGATTATTGCCCTGGAGGGTCAAGCAGTGGGAGTGGGGGAGGGGAGGCTGCAAAGGCAGACAGCTGCCGCAGCGATGCTAGCCATGCTTGGGCCTGTGCGTTAGAGCCCTCCAACAGCACTTTACTGTCTAGTCATCTTGAGGGGCGACACTTATTTACATCACTCAGTGTCCATTATGCATCCTTTGCCACCCTCTTCTCCATTCAGCCGGGGTCTACCTTGCCTTGTCTCTGACTTCAATGAAGTCGGTTTGAAGCTTCCTACTCTAGCCCTTGCTGTCAGCTCCCAGTATTAAAGGGGACTCTGTTCAAGCATGCCCAAGACCCTTCCTGTCATGTCCGTGACATCCTCTCCTGGGGTGACTTCGTCAAACTCTTACTTCTCACTTTCACACTTTACAGCCTTCTCCCAAGTCTTTTTGAGTTGTCTCACAAAGTCACAATTGAGGCAGAGGTGGAGGGCTGAGGTGGGCTCTGTGGAGGGGTGAGGTGGGCTCTGTGGGGGGCTGAGATGGAGGGGTGAGGTGGGCTCTGTGGGGGACTGAGATGGAGGGGTGAGGTGGGCTCTGTGGGGGCTGAGATGGAGGGGTGAGGTGGAGGGCTGAGATGGAGGGCTGAGATGGAGGGCTGAGATGGAGGGGTGAGGCGGGCTCTGGGGCTGAGATGGAGGGGTGAGGCGGGCTCGTGTGGCTTGCTCATCCATCTGCCATTGTGTGCTTTGCATGTGGTGTCATTGAACTTGGCCGTGCTCACTCACTTGGGAGAGGGCCGTGTGAAGCTTTCCACTGCAGCACTGTGGTGGAGAGCACGGGCCTTAGGGGTGTGCAGTAATTGCCCCTTGCTCCTTATTACACGTTTGTGACCCTGAGTGTTACACGCAGCTAAATTCACACTCAGGGCAAAGGAAGCCCAAAGTGTGTCCTACTCACAAAAATGGACTGGACACAGCAAAGGGTAAATGAATGGGAGCCTAGAAATGCCTAGCAGCAGCCCCCCTCCAAAGCTGCCAGATCTGCGGAGGAGCGAGGTGGGGAAGTGGACCCATCTGTTGCTCAGTTAGCTGCCCTAATGCCCCGTTCTAGGCTGTGTGGCCACACCAGCCCCTCCTTTGCCCAAACTGGTGTGGCCTCCTTTCACAGCAGCTGTCCTTGCAAGAGCACCCAGCCCCCTCCATCACAGCCCCTGCACAGAGCCCACCTCACTCCTCCGTGTCAGCTCCCCCACAGACCTCATGCCTCCATGCTTTCCACATGATGATGATGGACTAAACCCGGGAACCTGTAAGTCAGCCCCAACTAGAGAGATGACTCAGCAGTTAAGAGCACTGGCTGCTCTTCCAGAGCTTCTGAGTTCAATTCCCAGCAACCATATGGTGGCTCACTACTATCTGTAATGATATATGGTGCCCTCTTCTGGCATGCAGGGATATAATGAATAAATAAATCTTAAAAAACAAAACAATACTTGCCATGGTCGTAGTGCCTCCTCACAGCAATAAATCCCTAAATAAGACAGTAAATAACTCAAAATAGCTTCAGGAAGTCCCTGAGACTGACCTGATTGTCTAGACTCCTCCCTGCCAGAGTAGACAGCTGAGAGTCTGCCACAGAGGAGAGAAGGTGCGCTGCAAGGAAGATTCCGAGCTGCAGAGAAGACTCTCGGAGGAGAAAAGCTGCAAAGAAGACTCAGAGAAGACCAGCTGACCACCTGGAAGAAGCAGACACCAGCGGAGCACCTGGAAAGGACACCCCAACCTGTCGCGATGCCTGCAGGCTGGGCAGTGTCCTCCAGGCTCCCAGCAGTGGGAGCGCTGACTCATGCTGGGGTGGGCTTTGCTGATGCAGCTGTTTTTGAGCCATTTCTGCTCCTGTAAGTGACCCCTCACCCACACTCCTGTGAGCAACCCCAATAACGCCTTCATTTGCCAAATTGAACTTTGGTGGTATCCATATTTCAGTCTGTCGTGGGTTCCCTATCTGGGATGAGCAGGCATGTGTTGAACCCCCCCCCAAATTTGTGTCACACAACAGGTGGCACCATCCCATAGACAGGGGTGCTGGAATGGGATAAAAAGGGAAAGTCAGTCAGCCTCTCTCTGTTTCTGCCTCCCCCTCCCCCACTCTGTCACTCTCTTGCTTTCTCCACCTCCATCTCTACCTCCCCCGTTTTCCTCCCCCCCATCTGTTCCCTTCTCCTTATCTCCCTTCCCTCTCCCCTCTCTCCCCCCTCTCTCTGTCCCCTATGCATCACCCCTCCTTCCCTTCCTCCCTGCCTTCCTCCTTCAGGCTTCCTTGAGGTAAGCAGGCTTTCCACAGCTTCAACCACCAAGATGCTCTGCATCACCACAGAGCCAAGGCCTGAACCACCCAGGAACCCTGAAGCAAATCCAGCGGTCCCTCTAAGGTACTCTTCTGTGTCAGCGCTTCTCAGCCTTCCTACTGTCATGCTGGCCCCGCCACACAATTATTTTCACTGCTACTTCATAACTAAATTTGCTGCTGTTGTGGATTATAAATGTAGACATCTTAGGTGACCCCTGTGACAGGGTAATTTGACCCTGGGGGTTACCACCCACAGGTTGAGAACTTCTGTTATGAACTCGCCGCTGAGATGGGAAACTGAGGAAAGCAGCATGCTCCAGAAGAGGAGAGCAGTTAGCAGCAACTTGGCAATCTCTCCCTGCAGTGCCCTTCCTGTGTGACACCCAGAGATCTGTGGGTAGTGGCAAGTTTTCTTTTCTTTGGTCTTAGCTACTGCTAATAATGAACATATATTATTTTTAAATTAAACATTATGTTACTCCACGATCCCTGTGTGTGTGTGAGAGAGAGAGAGAGAGAGACAGACAGACAGACAGAGAGAGGGGGGACAGAGAGACAGAGAGACAGAGAGAGAGAGGGGAGAGAGAGAGAGAGACAGAGACAGAGACAGAGAGAGACAGAGAGATCCAACCTTACAAAACTGAAGCTGGCAGAGCCCTAGGCTGTCTCCATTCAAGTGTCCCTCCCAGAACACCTGCAACCTGATTTCCTAGAGAGCCCCTAACTCACAGTTCTAGAACAATGTATACATAGGAGACCCATGTTCCTCACAGATACTGAGTTTTACCCACACTACACTGCTCATTTTTCCTTCTAACTAAAACCCCCAGGGCTATTTGGATATGCAAGTTGGCTTTTGCTGCCCTGTTATCTTGTTGAATGAATGCTGACTCAATTTATCTGAACCCTATCCAAGGGCATTTAAAATGTTTCCAATTCTTTTTTTTTCTCTGTATTGTTGTGGATGCTGTCCTGGAACTTGCTCTGTAGACCAGGCTGGCTTCAAACTCACAGAGATCCACCTGCCTCTGCCTCCCAAGTGCTGGGATTAAAGGCTTGCACCACCAACGCCCGGTTTAAAATGTTTCCAGTTCTTATCAGCCAGGCATAATGGTTTATTCCCATATTGCCAACACTCAGGAGACAGAATCAGGGTGTATCCCTGTGAGTTCAAGGCTAGCCTGGTCTACACAGCAAGTTCAAGGCTAGTCTGGTCTCATAGTGAGTTATAGAACAGCCAGAGCTCTGTAGTGAGATCCTGTCTCAAACAAATTAAAACAAAAAAGTTTCCAATTCTTTTGAACATGCATCCACATACTTAAATTGTAGAAGTGGTACAGAATTGTTATAGACACTTCTGGCATCCAGAATATAGAAAGTAAAAAACCTGAAGTCCGTCTGAGAAAAATACTTCTGGGTGTACCGGATATTAACATAGGAAAGACTTGACTGTGACCGCTGTCTCATGTTGGCTCAGAAAGTCCCCTCCGTGCAGTTGCAGATCTGTGTGGGAGGTGAAAATGAAAAGCTCCTAATTCTCAGAAGGGCTCCCATCCCATGAACCATTATCAACTGGCAACTTAAGAGCTTCTGTCATCAAAGAGGGTAAAAACAAACACCTGCCCCCACCCCAGACAGGCTTTCTCTGTGTAGCCCTGGCTGTCCTGGAACTCATCAGTAGATGAGTTAATGAGATCCTCCTGCCTCTGCCTCCCAAGTGCTTGGGATTAAAGATGTGTGCCACCACTGCCCAGCATGAAAGAAACTCTTATCATGAGGGCTAATTGGTTATAGCTGTAATCTGTGTGAGGACTCATGTCCAGAATAGAATCGTAGTTTACAGAGAATAGAAAATCCCATGGAGGATGGTGCACTTCACAGAATGTGTGTTAGTAATTTTTTCTTGTTACCTGGCAGAGCAACTTAAGGAAGAGTTTATTGTGGCTCTCAGTTCAAGAGTACAGCCCATCATGGCAGGAAGCAGAGCCACGCATGCTCGCTTTTCCTTTTTATTCAGTCTAGGACCCCAGTCTATGGGATGGAACCACTCACATTCAGAGTGGGTCTTCCCACACCCATCAGACAAATCTAGAAACTCCCTGGCAAATATTGCTCTGCAGTTTGTTTACATGGTGAGTCTAAATGTCATCAAGTTGACAGGATGAATCACTACCTAAGGATATTGGCAACAAACATGGAAAAGTGCTGAATTTCATCAACCATGAACAAGATGCACACACAATCACAATGTCAAGACATTACCTACTCCACCAACAATTGAAATGAGAAAGCAGTATTATGTGGGATGTCATCCTGAGCTGTTGGGTTTGGGATTGTTTGTTATGCAGCTGTAGAAGGGTTTTAGGAATGGTTCAGAGGGTGAAAGTGTTAGCATCCAAGCACATCTTGGCCCCACCCCTTGGGAACCTGCCACAGAGCTTAACCCCTCTGCGCATGGATGGCAAGCAGTACCCTGGTTCTGTAAGCAGGTATGGTCCCTTTAAGAGACAAGCCCTGCCCTCTCTTCTCTCTCTCTTTCTCTCTCCCATTTCTATGAGGAGGCAGGTCACTGTCTCTGTCTCTTTCTCTCTCTCTCTTGTTTCTTTCTCTCTTCTCTCTCCCGTCATTCCCCTCTCTTTCCCAATAAACTTCCTTCCCATCTAAGTTCTTCCTGATGGTGTGTTTGTCCTCTGCCATGGGATCCGTTATCCTACCTCAAGCCACATATCATAGAATAAAATGGTACCTTTGGGAGGCAGGTTTTTAAAAGATTTTTAAATTATGTGTGTGGAGGGGGCACTGATGGTTCCAAGTATGGGGGGCATCAGATCCTTGCAGCTGGAAGTTGCAAGGTGGTTGTAGACCACCTGGAATGGGTACAAGGAACTGAACTTGGGTCTTCTGCAAGAGCAGTTCATTCTTTTAAGCCCTGAATCATTTCTTCAGCCCCCTGGGACTCAAGGTTTTAGAGCTGGATGTATTTTCTATTCAGATATAGTATAAAGCCAAGCAAAGGCAGGGCTCACTGTAATCACAGCACTGGGAGGCTAGGCAGGAAGACTGTGAATATGAGGCCAGCCTCGGCTACATGAGTGAGATATGTCTTACCTCCCCAAACCCAAAGCTTTGAAAACATTGAAGGTTTTGGAGAGCTTTTTACTTTTATTGAATTAAGTCATAATGGCTCTGATCCTTACTTTCCATGGCTGACCCTGCTTTGATGTGCAGATTTCGTCCCTGTCCTGGGAAACTCACCACTCTGGGTCAGAACATCACTGAAGCTGCTGTGCCCTGTGCTGGATGCCAAGAGGGAAAGATAATTCATGTGAGAAAATGCTTGCAAGCAAGCATGCACGAGCATGTCACTGAGACGGGGTCTGACCTTTAAAACCAATTATCTGTAGGGACATGGCAAGCTGAACTGTGAGCTGCCACCCATGGGACACACTGCACGAGCTTTGGAACACACACCAGCTGTTCAGTCTGATTCTGCCCTTGGAATGACCAAACCATGCTGTGTCCCTAGAACCTTCTGCAGGGGACCCAACTCATTGCTGCAACCTTGCCCACAGATGGCATGACCATCCTTGATGGGACTTGCAGCAGGGGTAGGGACTGGCCCTTGTTCTGGCCTTCTGACAGGACAGCTTGACAGGCTGCTCCTGGGCTGTGCACTCTTTTCTCTGCCATGACAGCCATTCCAGGGTCAGGTCTCCTATGCTCAAGCTCCACCCAGTGTCACAGTTCACTCTCTGTGGCCTGCAGATGAAGATGCAGAATTCTCAGCTCTTCTCCAGCACTTTCTCTGCCTGTTTGATGGTGATAATGGACTAGACCTCTGAAACTGTAAGCCACCCCAGTTAAATGTCTCTTCACAGCAATAGGAGCCCTAACTAAGACAGCTATCCCGGTCACACTGGTATTCATTCCCACACTTACTCACACTGACCATAGAGGGCTATGACATTAGTTACCCTCTGCCCTCCACCACATCCTTCCCACATGCAAAATGCCTTCACCCCTATCATTCCCAAAGCCCTGTGAATTCTAGTATTGCCTTGAGATCAGGATCTCACACCATCAATGCTAAGTCCCAATGCTAAGTCTCTACTTTCTCTGAGGTTGGGCCTTGCATAGAGTCTTGAAAGTTGTCCTTTGACCTCCACGTACATGGCAGGATGTGTATCCCACCCAAATAAATAAGATAAAAACAAAAATATACATGCAATCTAGTGGTTTTTACTGTATCCACAAGCAGGTACAGCTATTGTGCAAAGTAAATACCCACTCACCTTATTCACCAACACCCACTTTTGACGCTCCGTTCTTGTCTCCCACCCTGCTCTGGGAACCCCATGTAAATGGGGTCTCACAATCCCTGGCTTGTGTAAATGGCTTCTTTAAATTGACATCAGATTTTAAAGGTACACCTATGCTGTGTCCTATTTCAGAGCTTCACTCCTTTCTGTGGCTAAATACTATTCCCTGCTGTCTCTTTGTGTGGACAGGCCATGTTTTCTTCCCTTGACATTTGATGGACATTTGGGCCACGCCCACCTTTTGGCGTCTGTGAATATCTGTATTTGCACTTCGTGTAGATATCTTCTTTCATTTTTAGATATTAGTCGCTTTTCTTGCTGCTACAACAAATGCTGGGCCTAAGCAACTTAAGGGAGAGTGCTATTTTGGGCTGTGGTTTGGGGGTACAGTTCATCAAGGCAGGAAAGTATTTCCACAGGAGGCAGTTGGTTACAAGTGTCCACTGTCAGGAGGCAGCTGGTTACATTGTATCCTTAGTCAGGAAGCAGAGCATGCAAGTGGATAGCTTGCTTGCTTCTTTTTATTCAGTCTGACTACAGTGGGGTGGTGCCACTCTGACAGAGAGGCTGCAGGACATCTACTAATTGATTTGGAATCTGGTGGGGCTGGTAGGAGAGATTCCCCACCATGGGTGTGTGTGTGTGTGTGTGTGTGTGTGTGTGTGTGTGTGTGTGTGTGTGTGTGTACCCAGAATTGGCATGTGGGCCTCATAGAATTCCACTGGAGAAGAGCAGAGTGGCTTCCAGAGCAATCGCAGTGGTTCATGTCCCCATCAGCAACACCTATGCCCTTATTTTTCTGTCTTAGTGGACTCATGCCATTATCTCCTGGTGGTTTGGATCTGCAGTTCTCTGCTGGCTAATGAGCCCAGCATCTCTTCATAGGCTTCCGCAGCACACCTGCAGAGGTCGTCGCCTCTTTATGATTCTGTTGCAGGACTGCTTTTTGCATTCTGATACAATCTCTTAGCAGATGTGCGGTTTAAAGTGTTTTCTCATAGTGGGTTGTCTTTCTCCTCTTTGAGCGTGTCCTTTGATAAGCAATGTAGCAATGTTTTGGTTTTGATGTTATCTCCTGTGCCCAACATTTTGTTATTGTTCAGTCCCCCCTTTCTGTTTTCATTTTTTCTGGTTGATGGTAAATTCGAG